AAAACCTGAACAAATCTTGGTTAGTTTTATGTGGGGTTTGTCTACATTGCCACAATAGTCTACAGAGCCAAGTCACAAAGGTCTACTCTTATTTCTGCAGTAATGGTGGGCACCATCGATGGGGATAAACCTAGTGGGCCCTTAGTCTATCACACCAGGTTTGTCAGGGGACTTCTCCACTGTTACCTGCTCTTCCCCCACCCAATGTGACAGCTGCTGTTCAGATGGGACTGCTTCCATGATTTTTCATGAGAATTTTCAAGGAACTTGCCATGATCTTACCAAGGCAGTCAGCTGGAGGAAAAAGGGTATGGAGCATGCTTAATTAGGAGACGACCTGCTCAGTTGGCAAACTTAAATCCTGCTAGTCAGCTAAAATCTCACCAAGTGTGGGAAGAAGACTTCCTGGAGGTTCAATGATAACTTGCATGTAAAAAAGTATATATAATAACAAAAGCTTAGAGCTCTAGGTTGTCATACTAAATTATCTCAGCATAAATCAAGACCCCAAAGAAAAAGGACACATACACATGTGTAAAGTTAAGTTTTGGTTAAGCAAAAAAAAAAAAGTTGTGTTTAAAAAGCATAATTCAATATGTATTAGTATCTTTTACTTTGGATATTTTGAGAACACTAGTGAGCCAATAAAGATTAACTGCTTTCTAACACAGAGAAACACAATGAGCTGAAATTCACTAAATAGAGCAGATATGAAAATCAGACATCAAAAGTTAGATTTCCTTTTTTCATTCTTGGCTGTTGGCTTCTTGACATCCTGGAACAAGAACTCTCCACCGCATCTAGGGCTTCAAAAATGTTTGCTGATGGATTGTTAGAAAAGTCCATGGAGGTGAAAAATTTGGGGTGTGTGGATATATTCTCTGAGAATTGGAATACCTAATTAATTCCTCAGCCTTCTCCAATTGTGTCTTTATTTTTCTAGTCATTTTTATTTGCCTTTCTAGGACGTGCTCAACAAGACCCAGATAAGGTTGCTGAAGCCATAATGGATGCCATTGAAGACTTTATCCAGAAAGGACTTGTCTGGGCTATGAAAAAAGTTAAAGTTGTTATCTTTCAGCCTCAAATAATGGATGTGTTTTTTGCCAACATGAGAAAAAGAGAAGGCTCCCAGGCTCCCTTACAGTCTATAATACCTAAAATTGCATGTGAGTTGTTGATTTTTATGAAATGCATGTTCCTAATATTGAGGTTACATGAGAAATAGCTAAAATTCTACATTATTTTTTTTGTGGTAGCTTATTAGCTTTCCTTGTTTCATTGAGATATAATTTTCATACATCACTGTTTAAGGTGTACTGCATAATGGTTTGATTTTACAAATATTACTGCACTCTGTTTAGTTAGCATCCATCATCTCATACATCTCTTTAAAAGAGAAAGCAAAATGAATTTTTTTCCTGAGGATGAGAACTCTTAGAATTAACAGCTGTCATATATCATATAGGTGTGTTAACTATAGTCATTATGCTGTGCATTATAGCCCTAGTACTTATTTATCTTGTAACTGGAAGTTTGTACTTTTGACCCTCCACTTATAATTTTCCCTCCCCCCAGTCCACCTCTGGTAACCACAAATCTGATCTCTTTCTATGAGTGTGAGTTGTTTTTGTGTGTGTGTTTTCTTAGATTCCACATGTAAGTGAGATCTTATGTTATTTGTCTTGTTCTGTCTGTTTTGAAGATGCTAATATTTAATGAACTATCAGAAAGAAAAATAATGGAAACAATCCTCCCATTTACAATTGCATCTAAAAGAATAAAATACCTAGGAATAAATTTAACCAAGAAGGTATAAGTGGTAAGACACTGATGAAATAAATTGAAGAAGATAAAATAAATGGAAAGGTATTATGTACTCGTGTATTGTAAAACTTAGTATTGATAAATGTCCATACTTCCTAAAGCAATCTACAGATTCAGTGCAATCCCAACA